CCTACTAACCCTATAATACAGGGTAGAGCTAGCCCCCGTGAGTTTTTCCACAGGAGTAGAAAGCTTGTCATTCTTGCATGGAGCGTTGGTGGTTTCGAACTACTGAACTTTCAGTTAGCAGCTCAACATCACGTAACCACTACACTACCAGGGTTCCCTTCATGAGTCATTAGAGAACCCAAAATTAAAACACAAGGAAATCGCATGCTTGCAGTTGTGGGGTGCCAGCCAGTCCGTTCCGATGCTTAGCGACCTCGTGGATAAAAGCGCAGGACCGGGGGCCTGCGCCTTCCTCACACTGTTGTTATGTTTGAGCCCAGTGTTGCAGCCACTGTGACAATCCATCACCTTGATGGTCTTTCTCTTTTCCACAGACCTTCTACTTTACCAAACACGTTGTATCTTTACAAGGAATGCGCTCTCGTGATACCATGTCCAAAGCACACGGGGCCCAGTCTTGCTGTCCTGGCTTCTAAGGAGCATTGTGGCTATCCTTCTTCCAAGCCTGCTTTCCTGTTCTTTTGGTACTTCCAATATTCCATGGCAGCACCATAATTCACACACTTCAATTTCCTCCTTATTCAATACCCAACTTTCACATACATGAGAGGCAGTTGAAAATATCATGGCAGGCACGTGTTAGTCCTCAAAGTGACACCCTTGCTTTTCAATACTGTAAAGAGGTTTTTGCAATAGATTTACCCAGTGCAGTGCATCATTCGATCTTTTCAATACTGTTTCCATGAGCACTGATTGTGTATCCAAGCAAGATGAAATCCTTGACTTCAATCTTTCCTCCGATTATCTTGTTGTTAGTTATTGGTCCAGTTGTGAGGATTTGTGTTTTCCTTATCCATACTGAAATCTAAAATCTTTGACTATATCATTAAGTGTTTCAAGTTCTCCTCACTTTAAGCAAGCAAAGTGGTGTCATCTGCATATGACAGGTTGTTGGTAAACCTTCCAGGGCAGTGAATTATCTAATCCTGCTTTTAGACAAACTCTAATTCTCATCAAATGACTTTTTTCTGCATGAGTCTGGTAAGAAGGTTGGGGGAGATACTAATAGCACTCATCTATGAGTACTTACAAATATAATTCTCTGGCATGCCATCCTGCTGTGTATAAAATAAGCCCTCTGAGAAACAGGAGGGGGATCTATACCAGCAAGGGCCAGTACTGTGTCCTCTAGACCCAAGAACTCTGCAGAGTAAATTTCCTGGCTCCAGAAGACTGCTATAACATCAGAGGACAATAGCAGAACCAGGAGCTAGAGTGTGGAACAGAGTAGTGGACTTCCTACCCACAGAGCAAGGAAAACAGTGCTTTTGTCCAGGTGGCTGGCTTGTTGAGGGGTGCCTCTGGGTACTTAATTAGGGAAGCTGGCTTGCTAACCCATAGAAGAGGAGCTGAGTCATTGCTGGAGGCTTCCAGTGGAGTAGTATGCCCCTTTGGACATTTATTAGCAGATTTGAAAGAACTTTGTAACATGTCCTGATAAACGACTGAACCTTGAGCATTTCTCACTAACATTACAATTCCTTATTTTCCTTAATAAACCCTTTAGTCATAAATTTTGTGTGTGAGGTCAATCGATATTAGAAACTAGAGAGGTAAAATACAGAATATTAATTAAGACTTTACTCCAACCTTGATGCCATATTCTCCATATAGACCAGATTCTCTGATGATTTGATTAGCATATAGATAAAATAAGTGTGGCTAGAGGATACAATGCTGATGCATACCTTCCTTGATTTTAAACCACACATTATAATTGTTTTTTCCCCACTATAGTTGCCTCTTGATCCATGTACAGGTTCCACCTGAGCACGATTAAGTGTTCTGGAATGCTGATTGTTTTTAAGGTATCCATATTTGGTTATGATCCACAATGTTGACTGCTTCTGCATAATCAATAAAATACAAATAAACATATTCTGCTTTGAGCTGTGATCCATCTAACCTCAGTATTGAAATACCTTGCTCCGTATCCTCTTCTGAACCCAGCCATAATTTCTGGCATCTCCTTGATATTCTGCTAGCACTGCTGTTGAATGATCTTCAACAAAATTTTACTCACATGTGATATTGTTCCATAATTTTCACATTCTGTGGGGGTCACCTTTTTTGGATTGAATACCAGTATAGATCTCTTCCAGTCAGCTGTCTTCCAAAATTCTTGGCATAAACTAATGAGTGCTTCCATCACTTCATCAGCTTGTTGAAACATTTCTATTCGTCCTCCATTAGTGCTTCCAGTGCACCTTGGACTTCTTCCTTCAGCATCATTGGTCTATGATCAAATTCTACCTCTTGATGCTGCACAGTCCAAACAAAGTCAAATTTACAATCGCCCCAAATAGGAAAATTGACAAAACCAAATGAGCGTGAAGATATAAAGGGTTTGGAAATCTCATATACTGCTAATAAGACTGCAAGTTGGAAAAACAGTGGGAAAAACTATGTGGGAATGTTAACCGAAGTCAAAGAGGCACATACCCTATGATTCAGCAAGGCTGCTTTTTATAGAAAGCTGCTCATCTGTCCACTAAAAACATGAGTATGAGTATTAATGGAAACATGAATCTTAGCACTCAAAAACTTGTATCATCTATCAATAATGTAATGAATAATAAAATGTGTTATTAAACAATGTATTGCTACATATTATCCATAATGTGTGAATCCTATTAACAAAATATTAATAAAAATAAGGCAGACAAAGATAACACATCTCATTCCATTACATAAAGCTCAACTTCAGGTAAAACTACAAAATTCATACCAGATGAGTGGGGAATACAATATACTAAGAAGGAGCTTTTGAAATACAGGTGTTGTTTTTAAATCTATGTGGTAGTTGTTTGTCATGTTGTAACCTTATGATTTGCAAGTTATGTGTGTTTTAATTTAATGAGTATTTTTTGTTTAGGTCTGGTTTTCACTACGCATGTTATTTTTGTGTTGATTAGATTAATAATGATAGTTTGATGCTAAACTGAATTTTATTTCATTATTTTCTAAGGTAATACAGTATAATTTCAAGGGTAGAGATTTAACCTTAAATTATACTATTAACACCTTGAGAAAAAATACAGATAGCAATCTTTAGAAATAGGTAATATTACCACGTTTTAATTTCAGCAACGTGATCATCTTCAGGAATTAGACCTACAGGGCACATCGGAGCAAAGGGAAAAGAAGTCGACTAGTCATGCTCTCTGATCTCTGAAAAGACCAATCAATAGTCAATATTTATTGAGCTCTTAACATATATTACATAAAGTACTACAGAGTATTTTATAAAGCATCACTTTGATGTATTTTCCTAAGGAGTCTTACAGTCACTAGGGAGACAAACTACTCAAGTCCTTGAAAAAAGGGTATTTATCAATCTACTGTAGGAAACCATTATATAAAATGACTATCACAAGTTACGTAGTGGATCCTAGCCCTGAGATAGAGACAGCAGGGAGGAAGAGTGGTGGGGAGGGACCTGTGGGGGGACAAGCCCCCACGATTCCTACCCTATGGGCCCAGACTCCCACTGCCACCTCCCTTCCACCAGCAGGATCTAGGACACGCACCCCAATCCGGTGGCCCACTTGGCACCAATGCCCAGACATAGGCAGAGGCACAGCCAGAGGCCACACCACTGCTGCAGCCTGGTTGGGGAGGAAGCCTGTCTCCTGACCTTAACCCCCAACCCCCACCCCACCGCCAACCCATTAAGATGGGAGTGGGAAAGCGACCAGGAAGGAGGGTGCTAAAAAAAACAACAAATGGTACTAGAGGAGTAAATATCACAGATGGGGTGTGGTCAAGGAAAAATCTTCCTAGTGGAGATGATGGAAATTTTAGGAAGGATTTATTTATAGGACATTAAGCATTGACAACTCACTGCCCTCGGTTAGATGCTGACTCATAGAGAGCCTAGAGGGCAGGCTAGAACTGCCCCACTGTAAGTTTCCAGCACCTGGTGGTTCAAACGGTTGACCTTTCACTTAGCAGCCCAATATATAAGCACTATACCACCAGAGTCCACTGACAGTTAATGGATAAAAAGAATTGTAATGTTTAAAACTGTCATTAAATAAGTGAATGTTGGAGATAAAATATGTAAGGCGACAGAAGGTGCTTTGCCATGCTTGGTAAAGCAGAGGGGCAGCAGGAATGGGTAAGACCCTCTCAGTGATGGGTTGACACCGTGGCTGCAACAGTGGCTCTAGTGTAGTGATGGCAACGCAGAGCTGGGCTGTGTTGTTGCGTTCTGTTGTTTGTAGGGTCGCCATGAGGTGGAACCAGCCACACCTCATCCTACAGGAACCGAGTGGAGAACCATGGAGCGTGTCTTTCAAGGAACAACGCATCCATTTCCTCTGATAGCAGATGACTTCCTCTAATTTGAATTTGTGTTGTGGTTTGTTGTTCATGTATTCACCTTGCACTTTATTTTACTTTACTTTGTCTTTTAAACAGTGTTATTGGCACATAATCCACATACCATACAATTCAGTAGTTCAATTATATCCAGAAGAGTTGTACAATCATGTTTTTCTTTCTTGTATTCATTGTTACGAGCTTCTCATTTCCCCTCATCCTCCCCCAACATAACTCCAAGAAATCATTGATCCAGTTACTGTCGCCATAGATTTACCTATCTCAGATTTCATGTAGAGAAAAACATACCAATTCACCCACACACACACACACACAGAAAAATTAACAATAGCAAAGTAAAACAGAGAAAAACCTGAATTGAAAAGCTAGTAGATGATATTCAAAAGTATGACAAAAATGGGTTAGAGCAAGATAACATCACAAAGTGTTAAAATTTAACTTCATTACTTCAGCAATAATTCACTTTTCAGTGAGCTGGCTGTACATCATAGTAAGGCTAACCTCCATTCATAAAGGTAGGCATCACTTAATAGCCATCCTTATTTGTTCTAGAACATCAAGATTCTTCGCCCACACGGTTAACACTCAATACTCACAGGTGCAAAGAATCAGTCAAGATAGTGTCCCCTCTTACAAGGGTGTGTGCCTTAGAGTGGCCCCATCAGTTCACGAACTCCTAGTCAGAGAGAAATAGGAAAGTGTATTAGAAGGTGAAACCAGCCAAGCAGGCTGTCTTGATGGAGTTCCTCTTGCGATCAGAATACATACACTGTATATACTTTTACACGAGAATGCACATTTTGGGAGAGTTGTGCACTTTTGCAGGTACTTTTCATTACTCAAGTCCCAAGGTAACCACAAGATGTAAATGTCCACTATAACTATCAAATAAAACAATAAGTATAGCATGTGACGCAGTAGCAATCTCATTCAATGTCTTAATGACCCTCCAAATAGTATCGTCCAGCAATACAGAAAATCACAAAAACTCCACCGAGACTGCCGTGAAGAACAAGGAAAACTTGGTGTGAGTTAGTCCCACTACAAGGAGGGAGTACGTTTAGGTCACGCTAGTTAAGACATAAGGACACCCTCAAATAACCTTGTGATAAATCTAGAAGTGGGGTAATAGGGAAAGGCTCACATATCAATAAATCGATACTTCTATTTTAGATCACCATACAGTCCCTGGGTATGTGGCTCTATACATCGTAATATTTTAAAACTTAAAAGATGATTGGGAATGACAAATTGAAGAGCAGCGGCACAGGTCGCTGGTGAATACGGGAGCATTGGATGGCGGTGTGGAGAGGCTGGTCGTCAAGAGAGCAGCACTTGCAGAAGCCCAGCCTCGTGAATCGGTAACCCTAACCCAAACCTGGATAACAGCTCTCCCTGAAAAAACCTCATAGGGTTTCATTCCGTTGTATCTAGGATTCAACGCATGCTGACTCTATGGGACACAGAAGAATTGTCCCATAGGATTTATAAAACTTCAATCTTTACATCTTTCTCCTGTGGAGGAATGGGTGGGTTCAAAATGCCAACCGTTTGATCAGCAGCCAAGCGCTTCACCTTCCTGAATTGGTAGTGAATATCACATAGTTATTATATTGGGGCCAGCTCCTTTAGGACCAAGTAAATTGACATTTGTATACTCTCCCCAGGGCTATATTTACTTTCTTTGGGAAATTAATAGATAAATCCAGGGCTGTAATTAGTTTGGCAAGTCATGAGATGAAACATGCTCTGTAAGAAGAAGCACATTATATACGTTCAACCATTTAGCGGCATTCAGCTTCTAATCGTGAGTACTGAAAATATTGCTAAATATGCAATAAAAAGGGGCAGCACTCATCTGTCCTGTAGCTTTTAACCAACTTAATGATCTTTAAAGTGGCTTTGGTATATTTACATGGAGAAGCATTGAAGTGCCACCTCTGTGATGGGCAGCTGAATGAATCCTACCCTCCTGGCCATGATCAAGAGTCAATCGCTCTTTACCCATCAGTGGCACAGGGCACAGCAACTACACCAACGCACACACAGCAGCAAATCGGGAGGAGGGAAAGGCAGTGTGCGGTAAAGTCAGGACAAAAGGACCTGGCAAAGAAAGACACTGAGAAGAGCGCAAGAGTTGAAGGCAAAAAAGATCAATCCTATGACACGCACAACCTGACAATAACAAGGGTCTAGGAGTTGATTCATTGATACACAAGCAAGCTGAACAGGTGTAGGAAAGCAAATGGGATGGCATGCAGACATACTCATATGCAGGTTTGGCAAAGGATATTTCTACACATGTATTCCTATGTGCTGCAAATGTATTCATGAATATCATAGAGAATATGGCAGGGAGTAACGTTGTGAAAATTGTAGCAATAAGCCAACACCCTGACGGAAGAAGCTGCAGGGGCCAGGGGCTCTGTTCCATAGTCTCAGGGGACCTGACCTACCACTGGCATAGCACTGGCCACAAAGACAATGGCAGACGTCCGACGTTGATGAGAACCAAGAGCAACCGGTCATACAAGCTTGGGAACTGTGCCATCTGGGGTCTCTCCTGGTCCAGAAAAAGTGAGAGAGAAATCAGAGACTTTTCTCTGTAAGTCTAAAAGATTATTAGACCCCTAGAACTTCAACACTCGTGACTCGAAGGCCAAAGGGGGAGAAAATGGTGCCCAGTTCCCACTATCAACTGCTAGAAAAGGAATCACAAAGAAGGTACTGGAAACAATGGGAGGAAAATGTGGAATAACACGCACAATTATTTTAAATATCAGGTTAACTGGTTAGATCGACAATCATGGTCCTTAGAAACGCTCCACGCCTGTAACTGAATTAACTCCTCTGGTTCCACTTTCAGTCAAATAATAAATATATCTATAATGTGAACTATAAGCCTAAGACAGGAAGCACTTCTTAGACCTGTGGGTCGCAACCCCTAAAGGGGGTCGAATGACCCTTTCACAGGGTCGTCCGATTCATAGCAGTAGCAAAATGACAGTTATGAAGTAGCAACGAAAATAATTTTATGGTTGGGGCATCACCACCCCGTGAGGAACTGTATTAAAGGGTCGCGGCATTAGGACGGTTGAAAACCACTGTCTTAGACTCATCAACCATATGAAACCAAAGGGGCGGCATTTGCCATTGACAAATTTCAGAAGGCAGGAAGTGATAGGAAAGAAAGCAAATGGAAAGAGAGCACTCTTACTTTGTGGAGGTCGCGTTCAACGTCATGAAACAAAATTTGTAAGGATGGGTGAAGAGCAAAGTACGTTCTTCCATAAACGTTTATGGAAATCACAATGAAACGTTTTCTAAGAAATAAAAGGCATGTAGTACCCAATGTGATAAGTAGCTCATAGTAAGTATTCAGTCAGTATTCACTCGTTTGATTTTCTTTCAATTATTCCTCGAGCTGCTTTGCGTCCATTTCAGTGTGTGGCTACCCCAGTTGCAGAGCAAAACTGCTGCACAGGTCACCCAGGCCAGCCTGTCAGGTCGACCTCAACAGTCTTTCACCTCTCTTTCCTTCCCACCTCAGTCATTTTTCTGTCCTCATTTCCCCTCCCTCCCTGCTCCCCCTCCCTCATGAGCCCTTGATAATTTATAAATTATTATTTTGTCATATCTTGTCCTGTCCGACGTCTCCCTTCACCCACTTTTCTGTTGTCTGTCCCCCAGGGAGGAGGTCACATATAGTTCCTTGTAATCGGTTCCCCCTTTCCAACCCACTCTCCCTCCACCCTCCCAGTATCGCCACTCACACCACTGGTCCTGAAGGGATCATCCACCCTGAATTCCCTGTGTTTCCAGTTCCTATCTGTACCAGTGGACATCCTCTGGTCTAGCCACACTTGCAAGGTACAATCCGGATCATGATAGTCAGGTGGGAAGGGAGGAAGCATTTAGGAACTAGAGAAAAGTTGTATTTGTCATCATTGCTACATCGCACCCTGACTGGCTTATCTCCTCCCCAAGACCCCTATGCAAGGGGATCTCCAGTGGCCTAGAAATGGGCTTTGGGTCTCCACTCCGCACTGCCCCCATCATTCACTATGGTAAGATTTTTTGTTCTGATGATGCCTGATACCTGATCCCTTCGACACCTCGTGATTGCACAGTAATTTTTATAGCCTCTCATCTTCCCACCCCATCTATACACCATATTAGATCCATCTTACTGAAACATCGCTCTAACCATGTACCTCATGTTTGTTTTCTCTCACCCCTACTAAACTGTAAGCTCCTTGTGGGCAGGATCTGTGTGTGAGTCATCACTGTATTTCCCATAACACCAATCAATAAATATTTCTTGAATAAAATAAAAAAGGAACAAGATCGCCAAGCCTGCCTTCGAAGGTGCCCTTGCGTAGGTCTGAGCAGCCACCTCTCAACTTGTAGTTGCATTCTGAACTGCCTGCACCATTTACGGACCAGATCAAACATAAGTTAACATGTCATGGATTAGGTAAAGATTTGTGATTTCCATGCAGACGCTTTCCTTCCAAATAATTCTGACCTTACGAAGCAAATCTTATTCTGTACAATATTAAATTATTATAAGGACAGATTCCCCTTTGATAAATTATCATACTAATTAAGTTATTTCTATTTTGGCAGGCAAACCTTCTTTCGCATCATCATTTTTCACTTCTTGGAATCCCATGCCGAATATATTCCAAAAAAATGTATTATTTTCAGGAAGCTGAATGGAGACCCCTACATCACCAACATCAAAATATCTCACGTAGAATTACTCTTAAAGAGCTACATTAGCAAAGAAAAAATACAACTTTGTGTGATGGTTTAACACTATAAAGGGTGGAAATCTCTGCTTAATGCCTAGTACCTTTATTAGCACACCAAGAAGCATATAGAATACACAATCAAATCTAAAATTATTCTCAGCAAATAAAGGGTGGTTTCAGTGAATACTGTCACAGGCAACATCTAGCTAATATTACCAAAAAGAAAACTGTAAAACATCCTACTAGATGGAAACAAACCTTGTTTCCAATTTGCTTTGACTCTCCTAGGACTCAATGCAACACCAATAGTCAGTATTTATAAAATCATAATTATATCAGTTTTTAAATATCTTAAAACTATTCTATGTCTCATCCTATTAGCCATCTTACTGTAGATTGCTTTTTGTTCATTTGTGTTTTGGTATAAACAAACAAATGTATTCATTCATTAAATAAAATGGGTTATTTAGGGAAGTGAGCTAACATGATTCCTATCAAAATCTGAAACACTTTATATGCTTTTTCTAGTTCAAGCATTTACAATGTAATTATTCATAATATACATAGCAAGAGAGCCACTTGTCATAGTCCATAAATAAGCCAAGCCATGCTTTTTTAAAAGTTAATGCTTTAAATTATAGATTATTTCTAGTTATTCGTGACGCAACAGTAAACCACTTATTATAACGTTGTGTTGTTGTTGTCAGGTGCCATCAGGGCTGTTCTGGCCCCATGCACAACAGAATGAGACTGCCTGGTCCTGAACCATCTGTACAGTCTTTACTATGTTTGAGCCCATTGTTGCAGGCACTGTGTCCCTCAATCCCATAGAAGATTTTTAGCTTCCTCTGACACTCCCCGAAGCATACTGTCCTTCTTCAGAGACTGGCCCTTCTTTACAACACGTCCAAAG